TTCTCCAGATCCCTTTTGTGAATTCTCGGAACTTCACTAAGTCCCAATTTCTCCAGCAGAGCCTCTTTCATGTCTTCGTGGGTGAAACCCCTCACCATCGCGAAAAGTGCTGCGCAAAGGAGGCAAGCGGTACGGATTGAGGACATCTTTTACGCGAAGGTGCAGGAGAGGTTCTGAGTCTGTGCTGATGTTCTCGGTCTGAAATGAATCTGCTTTGACAGCGGCCGGTCCTTATATGCACCCGTTAGACCCCCAGTTGTTGGGGGGGTGACTGTGGGGGTGACTGACATCAGAGGGAAGGTGAATAGGTGATACATGAAAGCCACGATTCATCGGAGAAATTAACGCAAAATGCACAACTTAAAACTAGAATGATAATTCAAATAACCAATTTTTATTCAAACAAAAATTAGATAGAGATAAAATAAGATAGATAGATAGACATGTAGGCCTATAATAGATAGATAGACAGACAGACAAAAATATATATAGACAGACAGACATCCAGATACACACACACACACACATATATATATATATATATATATATATAGATAGATAGATAGATAGATAGATAGATAGATAGATAGATAGATAGAGGCAGACAGACAGATATAGATATAGATAGATAGATAGATAGATAGATAGATAGATAGATAGATAGATAGAGACAGACAGATATATAGACAGATAGATAGACAGACATATATATTTTTAACATTATGCAATTTAACAAAACATGTCACAAGTTATCTTTTTTGCAATACAAGCAATAGTTCACATAATTATGTGTGAATGTAGACCTGCTCTACTTGCATTTTATGTTATCTGTATTGCTGACATATAATGTTCTTGTTGTGTGGATTTACCGATGACCGGCTTCCAGACATGGTGAACCTAGAACGCTCCCTCCTTTCCAGTTTGCATGTGCACGTTGATGTAGCACCCTTGTTCGTCATGTGTACATTCCCCTGGACATTGTAAAACATTCCTAGTCTGGCAAGAGTCTGTCAGTATAGAGTTTTCAGTCCCTCTGTTTAAGCACCATTCTGATCACCCTCGCTGTGGTCCCATCATCATTGGGTGGGCTGAGGGATTAGATGTTTATTCGAAGACCACCATCCTTCAGCTTGATGCACAGATTAAAATTATTAGGCAAACAGACTGTTTAATCCAGGGCTGCAGTATAGGATGTGGATTGGGAGGCTCTTCACAGGTTGGTGATTATCTGATTCCATTGCCAGATTTGCCATTCCTTGTTTGGTCACACTAACATTAGAAGAGGGGCTAGTGGCACTGAGGGCCCAGTGTCTAAGTATGTGTATTGGCCCCTCTATTTGCTCTAAGATGTCAGACAGACTAAAGGAGCTCACAGGAAGAACAGATGACAAATGACTGGCTGGAGATGGAGGCAAATTAATGCAATACAAATGCAGAACCAGACAAAAGAGCTCACTGTTTGAGCCCAGAAGAGTATTACCATATCTGCTGCAAGAAATGATTAAGTTGTCATCTGTTAATATTTGTCCTAACTAGATACAGGTATGTTTCTCTGAATAGTTTAGAAACAGTTTGTTTGGACATCTGGTAATAAGTCTGGAATATGAAATGTGAATAAATATAGGCTATATATTTTTAAAATTGCTATGTTCAAATTATTTTTTTTATTCTTAAAGTCATGTTAGTTAGATGTGAAATTAATTTCCAAAAATCCTCAGTCTAGGGGCCTGCTTGACACATTTTGTACAATACACATGGTGCATGAGTAAACTGAAGTCCAGGATCCTTGTGTGATTACTGTCAGTCTTCTGTCCTTCCTTGTCGATTATTTTGAGGCCCTTTTGTCAATAGAAGTACCATCTAATTCTCACAGGTAGTATATCCTTAATCAAAGGATGGAGGTACGCGCCAATCAACAAAACATGTGCTAATTAACACCTCTCTACTACATACGAAAAACAGCACTATTCAAACGGATCCCGCCTCGGTTTGATAAAACAACAAACATTCTATAGCGACGTCATAAGGTAACGACGTTGAAAATTCAGTGTTCTTTTCGTCAGTGATTATCGATATCGTAAAAATGCATATCCTATGCAGGCTATATATATATCGTTTTTTTTTTTTTTTTTAAATGTGCTTAAGGATGTTTATTGTTTAAAAAATCTCATGGTCAAAAGAAATTAATTGAATGTTAACTTCCTGTTCAACATTCCCTACATCCTGCCGCAGTTTGGTTCTAACATCAAATGTTTTGAGATGAAAGACACTATTAGCACCTTATTAGGTTTGGTGTGGCAATTGTCAGATTCAGATTTATTGAAGAATGTTTATGAAATACGCCACCTTGAGAGGAGAAGATGTCACGTTCTCAAACGTCAAACGCTTACACGTGAACAGCTGCGCTTTGACATTTTCGTTTGATGTGACAAATATGTTTAGCTACTCTATCGAACTAAACAGCTTGTTTGTTTAAGACAGGCCTTATATTTAAAACGTGACATATAGCCTATATTATATGAAAATATTATATATTAGGCTCATCTTTAATATTTATTTGTAGACATAGCCCCACAGTTGTAGCCAATTTTGAAAAATTCTTAACTTAAATGTAACATTTACAACCATATCTGCTACTCAAGAAACGTTAAATAAATAGGGCTACGCAGACAAATAAATATCAGAGACCCTCTTGTTAAAAATTCTCATTGGAATTGCAATGCAAAATATTGGACACAAGAGGGCGAACGTGCTCATTTTTCTTAAAATATTACAACGTTTCTGTACTAAAGACCTTTCTCAAATAAGAGAAAACGTGTTTCTTTGGGTAACATGCCCATCAATATTCACTAGAAATTAGGATTACTGTTTGAACGAGACACCAATCACCATTAGTTACCATGCGTAAATTGCTTTTTAAAAGTATCACATTTATTTGTTTTATGGTGTGTAGTGTGTTTTATTTGTGAATGTAAAAAAGATCATTCATGGGGTATATGTATCATTTCAAGAACTCTCAAGGGGTGCATAAACCTTCTAGGCTGCATCCGAAATATACTTACCTACCTATAGTAGGCAAAAATCAGTGACAAAAGACGTATGTCTGAATTCACAGTACTCATAAAAGAGTTGGCAAAAAGTACCTGGATAACCAACTTCTTCTGGCGAGATTCTGAAGTGTGCATACGATGGACACTGTACTATCCCATGAGGCCATGGGAGAGGATTTATGAATGGCAGTGAAGCAACGTGACTGACTTAGATACTAACTTATATAATTATACTAGATACTGTAGATACTAACTTATTCAAAATGAGTACCTACTCAAGAGAATGGGAATCTACATCATTGCACATTGCATTATGGGTAGTGGTCGCCATATTTTAGGACACGCTCATAAGCGTACAATGATCACAAATACAAATCACCAAAGAAAAAAGCTGTATTTATGTTAATACATTTTTTAAGAACTGCTTGGACGCTTAGAATAAACCGACTAATATTTGAGTCTCTTTCCTACATCTGAGCGCTCAGCCAAGATACTGGACATATTCATTGCATACCATACACTCATAGAAATAAAAATACCGCCATCTATCAGACCACACATAGGACCAAATTGATTTCTCGAGTCTTTTGCAGTTTATTGCTTTAATGATTAAATTGTGGCACTGATATATCTTCTAGATAAAATAATAAACACAATATAGCTTGATCTCAAACAGTGGATCATTTATTTAATCAACATATAGCATCATATCGCCCTAATTTCTTAAATCACTAAGGGATAACAACAGTATGGCGCTCTGAAATGCAGATCTAAAATTATTTGTATTGTGAAAGTGTATTATTAATGGGATAGTTTACCCCAAAATTAAAATGTTGTCATTACTTATTCATCCTCAATTAATTTCTTTCTTCTTCTTAACACAAAAGAAGATATTTTGAAGAATGTTTTGTAATCAAACAGTTGACGGTATCCATTTGACTTCCATAGGAGAAAAAAATACTATGGAAGTCAATGGGTGCCATCAACTGTCTGGTTACCAACATTCTTAAAATATCTTCTTTTGTGTTCAACAGAAGAAAGAAACTCATACAGGTTTGTAACAACATGAGGGTGACAAAATAATAACACATTTTTCATTTTTGGGTGAAGCTATCCTTTAAATGGAACAAGTAGGGCCTACAAGTTTCCTTACCTAATTAAGTCCCACAAGAGACACAAAACAATGCATTTAAAAGTATGTATTGTTACATAATACACGCGTAAAACGCTTTTAAACGAATGAGTAACAAAAAAGTTAGCATAGTTGTTAGTCAAAGACAACTACTATAATTAGAAGTCGCCTTGGCTTACAGAGGTACCATAGCAACAGTACTTTACGTTGTTCGAGCTCTTTCGTCACCTTCAGACGTAAGTCAACAAAAAAGTCCTACCGTTATCACTTTATTATTTATGTAGCTGCTACTGCTACACAAGGATAATAACAAATCGTGTGTTCTGAAAGTGTTTAATAATTAGCGCACTGCGCTGAAAAGATAATTTGGGTTAAGCGAAACGAACCTCAACGGCAAATTACTGACAGAAATTCCTTCAAAAGGTCGAGCCCTCTGAAGGTCAGTGAATAATTGGCGGATAATTCGCACACTGCTCTAGTATACACTACTCTACTATTCCCACCAGCATATCCCCATCCATTCCCCGCAGCAGATGCCGTGACGTCGCCATGATGATGTCGGGTTTTGCAGCAGCAGCAGCAGCGAGCTTGTGAGAGAGAGAGAGAGAGAGAGAGAGAGAGAGAGAGAGAGAGAGAGAGAGAGAGAGAGGAGAGAGAGAGAGAGAGAGAGAGAGAGAGAGAGAGAGAGAGAGAGAGAGAGAGAGAGAGAGAGAGAGAGAGGAGAGAGAGAGAGAGAGAGAGAGAGAGAGAGACGGCGACCGGGAGCAGAGCAGGGAAGGCAGGCAGCAGAGCAGGGAAGGCAGGCAGCAGAGGCAGAGTCCTCACCGACATGTACGAGGACGCATATTTTCAGCCCCTCGCCGCAACGCTTCCCTCGACAAGTGCATTACATCGCGTAACAGTTTGTCGAACCCACGGCTTGCTCTCTCCGCCAGCGTTTTGTATATACAAAGAGAGGAATTTAAAGGAAAAACAGCTTGCTAAGGCTTTCGCAGTCCTGCCAGAGGAGGGGCATATGGGGCTTTGTAGCAATGCAGATCCCGTGCTGCTGATGCGCTTTTGTTGCTGCATTATGGATAACCACAGATATCACCATATCTCAGGGGATTGCTTAAAACTTCTTTGGTGACTTCTTTTGTGAAAAGTGTCCTTCAAAGGAGAAGCTGATATCGGGAATACATAAGCCTAGGTTATATACGTCAAATCCACCGGCCAGGGCAGGGTCGATGGCTGTAAGTTCTCTGCATCTAAGGACTGCGAATTCATGATGTTGTGGATTGATATGGACGCATCGGTAAGAGAGGGACCATGATTGACCCCCTTAAGCTTGACTATATATTTTTGAGCCTTTAAGTTTTTCGATCACTCAAGTGTGCCACTGGCCGGTCCCATTTACTACCGTGGGGAGCAAATCTTGACCATACTGTGAGACATCAGCACCATTTGAAACCATGTCTGGAGAGGTGCGTTTGAAGAAGCTGGAGAAACTGTTTCTAGATGGGCCGTCTCAATCCAGCGGCCAGTGCTTTAGCGTGGAGACCTTGTTGGATGTTCTTGTCTGCCTTTATGATGAGTGCAATAATTCTCCCCTCAGAAGAGAAAAAAACGTTCTGGAGTTCCTAGACTGGGGTAAGACACATTTCATGCACTGCACGCCTTGTCTTTCACGCGTCCCACACGTCAGTTGTTTGGCGATTCACTGTGACATGCGGGAGGCAAACAAACTATTGTTATATTGTCTGACGTTAGCCAGCTGCTTAACAGACAAAGTTGCTGTATGGAAAACACATTGAGTTGTTTTCGAGGGGGGAACAGAAATGAAGATGACATCATCGCTAGACTGGTTTGTGCATGAATGTGGAATGTGAAGCTCACCTTAATGAGTCCCTACTTACATTTGAAACAAGGTGGATACAGTGCAGTGGGCTTTCATTTTGACATGGGCCACAGATAAACAAGCTAATGTATGTATGGCTTCTGTGCATGTTCACCAGCAGAATAGTATATTCTATCTCGATGGCCTAACACTTATAATTTTCTACATATAATTTTCAGTCAATAGCTAAAGGTGCACTCAGTAATAGTTTGCTAAATTGTAAAGTTTGACAAATGATGAATAATCCAGATCTATCTATCTATCTATCTATCTATCTATCTATCTATCTATCTATCTATCTATCTATCTATCTATCTATCTATCTATCTATCTATCTATCTATCTATCTATCACATCCAGGCACTTTACAAATCACACAAAAAGTCACACTATATATATATATATTATTACAAACACAACATAACTGTTTAAGTCTCTTTTCCTTTTATGACCCTCACATTTTTTTTTAATCTAGGGCCTATACCTTTATTACTTTTAATTAGTTTAATTAGCAACTTTTATTGTATTTTTTATAAACCTTTTTATGGTTACTATTTTTGTAAATTATTTTAATATAGGCCTAAAGAACTTTGAATTACCCCATGTATGAAATGTGCTATATAAATAAACTTGCCTTGCCTAACTTAGCCCAAGTCAAAATTTAGATTGATGGTATGGATCAGCATGCAGTTAGTAAACACATGTCATGCATCCAGGCTTATACATGTCAGTATCACATCCAAAATCTATTGAAATGAATAAGATGCTGTATGTAAACAAAAACCTACTGAGTGCACTTTCAAGGGAAATATGCCAAGTTTTATGGGGGCAGAGTTCATCCTGCATCTGTAAATGATCTAATTGCTAGTTTAAAATGGAGCAGAATGAACAGCCTTCTATCTTTGGAAAAAGTTTGGCTTAACTAAAACTGTCATGTTATGTAACTCTGAGAAATAAAGAGATTGCAGCAAACAGCATGGGTTTGGATTCATTGACCATCGTCTGAATGCAGTGCCAATTCACAGCACAGACCCTGCTTAGTTTGTTGTATTGTTTACAATCCTCTGGTCCTTTTATTTGAATGAAAATGCAAATCAAACTAGCCTTCAAGCAACTTAGTTAGGCCCGTATACTTTGACAGTGCTGGTCAGTGCTGTTGCACAGGACGTTTTTGAGATTATTGTGATTTTAGCTATTGTGCATGTGTGCTTTTGCGAAAAAGTGTAAGTGCACCTTTCCTGTGGGGGGTCTCAGTAGGGCAACGTCAGGAAACTCCACTGAGCCACTGGACACATGATGTCATACGGGGAAACGGCTGTGCATTGTGTTTGTCCCCTTTGTGGACTTGACTATTTAAAGACCGACTGGATGGGTCACTCAGTCATGAGCTCATTAGCACACACTCACTCTTTCATTCACATTTCAATGTGACAGTCATTGGAACGGAGACCAAAGTCGCAGTTTATTGTCACCAAGGTCAAAGTTAGCTTCACAAGGGACTTTGTGTCTTGCTTTTTTGTGACACACTAACACATTTTACGGTGTTCGTATTTCAAAAAAGAGGCTGGAAGTCCAGCGTAACTTTGTAAGCGAAAGGGAATGAGAGGATAAATTTGGCTGGTTGCTCTGGATTTCCTCAGCGTCTGAGCGAGGGCAGTTCATAAACAGAATTACTGAGGACGCATCAACCACTGATGGTTTAGGTAAGGGCAGTGATGAGTATTCCACATTCAGCGTTGATGGTTTGTAATTGGAGCCTTGAGGCCGTCACTATGTACTACAACATAATGAGAATCACATGTATGTTGGGACAAGGCCGCTAAGCTGCAATTATATGTGAACCCCCCTGGAATGCCCCAGTCCACCAGAGAAATGTATGCATAACCCTACGAGACACAGAATGAATGATTCATCCGCATTTCCTTTCCTTCCCTTCCATTGCCAACCAAGTCTAGACCAGTGACCTAGAGCCATATTGTATTGTTCTGATTATTTTTTCATTGTGAAAGAGTGAATTCATGCAGACTCCCTGTGCTTTTCACTGAAATGAATCTAGGGCCAGTTGGCAAAGATGCTTAAATATTTCAGCTTTTCATTCGTTTTCTCTTTACTGGCCATAGAAGATTGGAGGCAGCTTGGGGAATGGTTTGACGGGGTTTCCCAAATGATACATTCATAACAGTGCATTGTGTTTAAAAGGTATTCCCACTGTCAGTACAAAATCAAATTGGATCAATGTCCATATGGAATTCTTTGACCAGTGAAAGTAATATACAGGCTTTTTTTTTTTCGTTTACAAAAAAGTACTTCTCATGGTTGATTGGACATGGTGATATTGTGGTATTATTTGAATTTTGTTGGTGTATAGTGTAAATACCATGGTATGCAAATAAGGTTAGTAATTTAGTTATTTTATTAAATTGAAAAGTGAGGTCACTCATTGGACATGTGACAATATTTCACAGTCTATTGCATATCCTGCTAAAATGCAAGGCATGCCAGAAATTGAGCTGCTCCACATGCACTGAGGTGTAAGATCAATGCCAAACTCCCAAAATAATGCCTCAGCAATGCAGAGATCTGGATGCATTGTTCCTCCCTGTCACATGATGTTTCTCCTGCGGAGGGCTTGGCTCGGATCGCTCGGCTGTAATAGTATGGTTTAAAGCCAAAGAATTCACCTCTTCTCCCTCATCCATCTCCATTCCCACTCTGGTCCCTCATTCCAGCACACCCTCCAGCACAGTCAAACAGGAACATCTTATTTAGTGCTAACATTATACGCTTAGACACCCACCCATGCCTGAAGCTGTAGTATGCACACACATATGTGGGAAGAGAGAATGTTTTTGTCATTGTATATACTGTAATGCATTCTAGACATGTTTAGGGTGTGTTTCGCTAATAGAGATCTGTTATTTGAGATAACACTCAGAAGTAGCCAGATAGCCAATTCTGCAGTGCATTGGTGCTCTGAGACCCTCCTTGTACACTGTAGATGAAGAAGTGCTGCATTCCGCTCAGACTAAGGCCAGATTTGCATGGAAGTGCTGACTCAGAGTTCTAGCTCTTTGCCGCTCTGATGTGCAGTGTGAAGAGGCTCGTACGGCAGCGGTTTGATGCCTACTCTCTGTCGCCATTCTCTCGATCTATCTTCCTCTCAATGCATCCAATTTCTTCATTGGTGAGCATTTAAATCAGCCTGCCAGTTCGCTAGCTTCAGCAGAGGAAAATAACAGACACCCTCAGTTTCATTTGCCATTTGAGATCTAAGTAAACCGATTGGTGGCAGCCTGACAATTGAGCATGTTGTAAACAATTGGTGGCAGGTGACAGTTGAGCATGTTGTAAACAAATGCTATGAAACGCTACAGTCTGCAGCTGTGCAAGTGTGATGCTGATGGATTTAATATAACTCGATTCTGTTACCTTAAAGCGATAGTTTTTGTCATCATTTACTCACCTACAACATTGCAAAACAACATGGGACCCCATTGACTTTCATTGTAATGACAAAAAACAGAAATAAACATACAAACAAAAAAACATAGGCTTAAAGGTTTGATTTCAACTAAAAATGGGGTAAATAATAATGTAAAATTGATAGATCTAATTTGGAACCCAATTCTACTACTACTTTAAGGGGGTAGTTCACCAAAAATGAAATTTGTCCCCATTTATTTATTCACCTTCAACATTGCAAAACAACATTGGACCACATTAACTTTCATTGAATGAAAAAGGAAAAACAAAACAGCCGTTTTCAAAATATATTTTGTTCCACAGAAGAAAGAAAGTCCTACAGGTGTATTTTAGCCAGGGACCTCTAGTTGAGTTGACAACTAGGAATGACTCAGTTATTTCTTCAGCAAAATACAAAAGTAGATATTTTTTATAGAACGTTTCAATTGTTTTTGCTCAGACAATGAAAGTCAGTGGGGTACAAAACAACACTGGATTTCATTGTATAGAAAAAATACATTGAGGTGCTTTTGAAAAATATCTTTGAGTATTTTCTATAGAAAAAAGTCTCAAATGTAAATGAGGACAGAATTTTCATTCTATGTGAACTATTCCTATAAATATGGGGTAGTTTTATGATTTACAAAATGGTTGGCAACTTTAGTAGCAGTGCAGATCGGCCAGTGTCCTCTGACATTGCTGACCGACTATAATGCTGCATGCACACAGTTATCACTTGGCCTTACTCTGTGCTGCTTCCTGATTTATGTGCCTGAATACTTTGTGTGTGTGTATTTTTGGTGTATGCCCTTGAACTTTGATGCACTGGAACAGTAGAGCATCCTATCAGAATGCTACCACATGCACCACTAAGCTGTGACACAATGTGACCCAGAGATTTGACCCCAACATTCAGTAAAGACTAAAAATATGACTTCCAAAACCATTCCGACTCTAAATTCCAATTGGATGAGTAAAATTCAAAGCTATTGTAAAATGACTATGCACACTGTCTAGCATACTTTTATTCTCAAATGAAGAGCAAACAGCGCATACGTATATCTTTTTTTTTTTTCCCTGAAGTGTTTTCAATGTAGACACGAAATATCAAAGTGATTTGCTGGTTCAGCGGTTTTGGTTTGGTTTGGTTTCTCTTTCAGTAGGCGTGCATTTGTGTTTTGCATCATAGTTTCCAGTCCTCGAGGGTCACGGGACGCTCTCGCTGGCCATGCAGCACGATAAAGCAGCCTCGAGTGACACAAAATGAGGAAATCCTGTGGTTGGAGTGATT